TAAATCACCCCCCATTTGAATGCGCTCACTTGCGGTCCAATGACGCTTCTACTACATCCCTTGCCGCGTGTTGCGGCGGGTTTGAGTAGAGTCTGTGAAACCCGTGTGGCTATTGTACAAGAAAAGAACCTATGAACGAAACTGTTTGGCAAAAACGTGTGAATCTACACAAATACGGATAACTGAGTCAAGCAACGACGAGTTCACAAGGGGCGGTTGAAGCAAATTATGAATTACGGAGGCTGCATGGGTTCTCTAATTATTCGGATGCTGGATATCATCGAACGGAATCTTTCTGAAAAGGGCATTGCGTACGTTTTGTAGGAATTTTTCCTGCTTTGCAGGGTGCACTTCATCCCAAGCCGGCCATTCTTGTGCCGGGTTAATTTCGGGAGGTGGTGGCATCTGGATTTCATTATGGTATGGCGGGTCATGGGGCATGTGCATTATGAGATTTTCAAGGAATCGGGATGTGTCATCAGCATTGGGGAGTGTGGGTCGGCGAGATATGCCCCCCTGGTGGTAGGTTGCAAATCCAAGTCTGGTCAGGCTCGAGGTGCCCTGTTTTTTGTATACAGGGATCAACTAGTTCTTAGAGAATGTCTGGATATGTTTAACAATCCAACGAAAGTTGTCTGCGAGCGTCCGGAGGGATCGTGCCTTGGGAGGAGTTGCACCCGTTCATCACAGTAAGGCACAATCACCAGTTTTTCATGGACACGAATTCGCACCGGCAAAACTCGGCCGGACCAGATCATGAAAGAGCATGCTAATTTAGTCCAGGAGATACCTAGATCACGCGGATCGTGAGTTTGCGACGGATTAGGCCATTTTAAGAGTGAGCAGAACGCCCACACCATTCGTGTGAGATTTACCCCCCAGGGGCTGCACCAGAATACAACACGATGCGGTTCAGGGGGATTCTCAAAGAAGGGCTCTTTAGATGACCAAGTTCGTAATGTATGACGTGTGTGATGGAAGGCGGTAGCGGTAGTGCGCGGGGCCTCGGGGGCCTGGGTACCCGTAAAAAGATCAGGTTGGGTCTCGAGCTTATGCGTACGTCCACAGGCAAATCTAAGAGATAATGGAAAACTCGGGTCAAGTTAGCTTGCTGTTGGAGACGATGTGCTCGCACTTGCTGGCACAGTGCGGAGAAGTCTGCGTCATCAGTCTGGCGGGACTTCCCTGCGGCTTCATCGGCACAAGCATTACCGTGTATATGCCATAGTTCCTGCGGCGTTGCAGCAGCAGCCAGCTCGAGGTGGGACTTGATTTTATGTACTGTGAAGCGACCGATATCCCAAACCTGTAGAAGGCGATGCACCAGATCCCAGTGTAATGTCGATGAATGGTACCATCTCGTATGCGGTCGATAATGTTAACTACATATTGAGAATCGGTGACAAACAGGATCGAGTGCGTCAGAGTAACCGCGAGAGTTGTTTCAACTGCTATGATCATGGCGAAAAGTTCGAATTCGGACCTGTTGATTGTTTGCATGCCGGGACAATGACCTGTGGCGACCACGTGGAAGGTGCGCGCACCAGGTGTGGGACAGTGTTGCTTAAAACAACCGCCCAGGCAGCGCGTGCCGTAAAGGGGTCGCGTGTATCGTCACAGGATCCGTCGGTGTACATTGTCATGTCACTACTTGTAGGGATTACGGATAGTGTGGACAGAGTGGTATTGCGCAAGAACATCGCTTGTCAAGCCAATGGCATGTGCTCATGATGCGTTGGTAAGGGAAACCAACATAGATGTCGGTGTTGAGACATATAGTGGACGGCCTCTGTGTGTTTAGCGCGAACGGCTGCAAATTCTGGGCACTCAAGCAATTGGTGTCGATGAGTGTCATGTTGGCGACACCAGGGGCAATGGGGCTCCTGCGTAGACGACCATTGCGCGATTGCCCCATACGATTGCCACCCGGATGTCAGACTTAAGGCCAAAATGCGTCTTTGGCGGTCAGTAAGTTGCCGCAGAATTTTAACTGTAGTTAATGAATCGAAAGGCTGATCCGTGGCGCCTTTACGATGTTGGATTTCACAATGGCAAAACCAGTCCCATGCTATGCGGAGTTGCTGTTTAATGTGCTTATTGGAGGATGTTTTCCAATTTACTCGAAGACCACCAGGGCCCAAGAGGGTTGCCTGTGATGTAAGCTCCCAACCGCAGAGAGCCAGGTAGGACGCGATGGCTGTTGCGGGTCCTCGGACTTTACCATCGTATGCGCGGATGGATGAGAGGATTTTTTGTGCCATATCAGGATGGTACACGAAGAAGCGTCTGAAAGTTGTGAACATATCATTAATTAGGTACAAAAGTGGGTCCTGCACTCGGTCGGACAGGTAATGCATTGCAATTGAGCTGGCCGCGTGTTTATGGTCACCAACGAGTACATTGGTTGCAGCGCGTCGAAGAGTAACGAAATGTCGATTACCAATTGAGACACCTAAGGCTCCATAGAACACTGCCGGCCAGATGGCTACTTGAATCTTTTCAGCCCTCTCCTCGAGGGTAAGTTGCAGTTTTTTAAGGCGGTTACATTTAGCAACAGCATTATCTATCTTGTCCCGAAGCGGGCCGAGGACAACGGCATCAGTGTAAGATATTGTGCAACCAAGATCATGCGCGTGGCTTTTTATCTTAAATTTAAAATCTGGTTTAAGGAGCAATACTGCTGCGTCAGACCAGAAGGCTTTAAAGGGCTTGGTGGTAGCCCAGCACCAGGATCTAGTAAAATCAATCTGCATCCGGAGTGCGGCAATTAGGTTCAAAATGAGCTGAAGAGACTGGAAACATGACCTTTCCGACGTTGACATGAATGACCAGTTGTCTGCGTATGCATATGGAAATACCTTCGGTTTTTAAAGCTTGGTGTAGAAAAGCAAGCTTCACGCAAGCATACCGACAACGGACATTGAGTCACCTTCCGGGAGGCCTGTTGTGGAAATATGTGGCTCACCCAAGGGAGCGTCCACATTGAAGTGATCGAGTAAGCTTAGTAAGTGACAGAAACCAAAAGTTACACATATATTGGCAGGAATACCTAACCGTTGAAAGAGATGGTGGATCACTCTCCTTGGGATTAGATTAAAAGCCTTCACCAAATCCATCGTCCAGCCCCCCCAGGCTGTGTGGTGAGTTTTGGCGTGTTCAATCTGCAGTTCCTGCATGACACATAAGTCACGAGCAGACCGTCCAGGAAGGCCACCGCTAATTTCAGGGGGCCACCGTTCGGCCCATTGCTGCAAAATTTGGTCTGACAAAAGCTTAGAACACAGCCTAGCAAGGTATCCTAAAATGGTAATCGGTCGACCATCTGAGATAGACTCTGGTTTATCTTTTTTAGCGAAAAGTAACGTTCTGGCCTGCATGAGGTGTTCGGACAAGCCTCTCGGCCAGACCGATGCAACCTGACAAATCCGCGATCATGACCGGGGTAAGGCTTTGGAGTTCTTCGGAGTGCCACCCGTCTATCCCTGGCGCTCGGTGGGATTTCAAACGATGTATCGAGTCCCACAGGCATTGTGGGTCGTCAATGCGTAAGTCGAGAGGGGGCTGTTGGGGTATGACATTATCGATGTCATCGAGGGTACTCTGCCATTCTTCATTACTCAGTTGGGCATCTGGCGTGTCACGTAGCCAGAACTGGGACCAGAACTGGTGAAAGTGTGGGGACATGTCTCCACATGTATAGGCGTGAGAACAAAACACAAGCTCGGCTTGCCCAGGCAAATGACCCTTGATTTGAGTTAAAGTGACGTACGGAAGTTGGATCTGGTGGACTGTGGCCGTGCAGAGGCCAAACTGGACCTCTGCTCCGACGGGGATGTCGAAAGGGGAATGCATTTTTACCTTAGGGAGCGAACACGAGGCTCTGCAAAGCTGTGCCTGGGATGACTGGCATACCGGTATATCGGTTAAAAACCTTCTGCTCTTTGCCTTTCAAGAAGCCATACGCACCTGCGTTGTTTGTGTGGGATTGCGCGAACGCTATGCTGTGCTTTTTGTGGTATTTTCGGAGTTTGGTCTCTTGATGTGCATATTTGCGTCCGCGTCACACTTCGTGACCTGAAAGGCGTCGAGGAGCCAGTCGGCTGTTGGTAAATCGAGGGGGACACACGAAATGCACTCGAAGCTCAAAAGCCATGCCATCCATGACCTCCCGTAACCTTGTGACTGTCGGATGCTTTCCCATTCATGTAGCAGTTGCGGGTCATGTTTTACATCAGTGTTTCGTGTCTGTTTTTCCGAAGGTGTCGAAGTAAAGAAATGATTCTACGTGTTTGTCTCGCTTTAAGACGTGCTTTGTTGGAGGTGGCTTCAGTTGGCGGGTTGTATCCATTGGTTGGATCATGTTTTGCAGCACGTGGGGCTGCGTGTGTGACAAATCGGGTTGGTTGACACCTACCATAGTATTTCTTTGGTAGTGTAGGTTGTGGAAACCGTAGTGGGTCATTTTGATGCTGTTTGGAAATGCACTGTCGGACAGCTGTTTCCACATGCCAAGACCATTGTCGAAATGCTGTGTCAACTTCTTCATCTGTTGTGGGCTGTTGAGCCATGTTCAGGCGGTATTTGAAGTCATTGTAACAGGATTCAAGGGTGGTGGGGTTCATTGATCAAGGGTCTACAATATGTTTTGACTCAAACTCCTGGGCGCTTGTTTACCACCACCAAAGTGTATTCGCTGGTGTATGCAGTCAGCCCAACAGACAATGATAATGCTTTTGCTGTTCTTCTGAACACCTATATTTTCTTGGAACTGGTGGTTGGTTGAGTACAAACTGACAGGCTGATCGTTGTGAGCATCGAACAAGCTTTTGAAGGATCAGCAATTTGAAACCACGTTTGCGTCGACTCGCTGCGTCGGAACACGTGTGTCGACTCAGCACGCCCAAACCGCACGACGCGCACGGCGCTCGGCCTCGATCAATGATCCAAGGAACCCCTCCGCAAGCTGCGACTGCCTCGGTCGAACGCGACGTAGAGAAGCATGCAGCGCAAGAGATGCGCAGACCGAGGATGGGAAGAATGGATGGCACCATTTTTTGGACTCTGAAACTCGGGTGTCATGTTCTTCGGAGAGGAGACAAAGAAACACACACTCCTATGTCTTGAAGAATTAGCCAAGGCTCTGCATAAAGCGAATTGCTCGTCTTTGGGTCAGTCTGTTTGCTGCATCACAAGCCAAGCTAAGCCAGGTTCCAGAAGGTGAGAATGACACGGAATGACAACACACTCTACAAGTTCTGGCGGTTTGGGGCACCCCAGCCAATCAGAACAAACAAACAGGAGACCATGGGCTCGAATCCCAAATCCCAAGTGTTGGTTTCTATGAAAGTTGGCCAAAAGGCGGTTTCGGGACTTGAGTGAGGGGGTCTATTGACAGGCGATGTTCTTTTGCAACTCCTATAGTTTCTTCTTCTAAGGTTTCGAGCAAGTCTCAGCTGTGGACCTCTACCAAGTTGGATGTCAACGTGGTTGTGTCTCATATCCTTGCGGGGTTCTGAAACGCTTTCGTGACTCAACACCCAGGCCCGGCTTGTCTCCTCCCAAGATGCTGCGACTGGAAGAGGTGGGGAACTCGGACACCTGTCGTCGTTTTTTGGGACTAAAGCGACATCAGAGAGGATAATCTATCACCCTCCAATGGTCGTTCTTGGGGCCAAACACACTTTGACATTGGTTTTCAGTTAGCTCAATTCCCAGGAAAAATGGCGATGGAACGGAAAGGTGGCAGAGTCCGCAGAAAAGTATTGTTGAACATTGTTTGCAAATGCACTCACACGGCAGCTGAAAGTGGCGGAAGGGGAAAAAGGTTTGGGAGAGTATCGTGGAACAACCATGAAGCAAACAGGAGAGATTGGAGCAGCGTAGTCAACTGTTCAAAACGCAGGTACACACGGGTGATCAATCCGTGCTTCCCACTCCAAGGCATAGCTTCGTTGCACTGAGTTTGCCAAGGAGTGCTCAGTCCCCCTGCATTCCAAAACTCTTACTTACAGAGGTTGACACACACTTATGGATATGCGTACTGACTTGACAGCGGTGCCACACGCCGGCCTAGGTAAAACCACCTAAGGTTCCAGGTAGTGGGTTAGAGGCCTCCAAACCTATGAACACGAAGGCGAGCGACGACGACAGGGTGACGACGAGTCGGGCAAGTCAGTGGAGCTCCAGAGGTCCAATCACTCAAGGAAAATCATCGCTGCATTAGCCCTTGACTGAAGGAAACAACGAAGTAGACAGCGTGTGCTCTACGTAGGTTTCTCGTCCAGCAGGTACGTCAATCCGGCGTCCCGGATTGATTTCACAGACCAGTGCAAGCGTCTTTGTTAGTGCCAGACTTGCACGGTCCCTGGCACCCCCTGCTGAGTAAAACAATTCAAAAGAATCCCTGTGACTACAAGGGGCGCACACACACACGCCTCCCCGAGGGGAGGCGTAAAGCTAAGGTAAGGGCAAAGGTGCACGTGTGCGCGCGCAAGAGACAAAAGAATGAAGACATGACAGGAGGACGAGACGGGGCAAAGGTGCGTGTGGTTGAAATGAAAGGGGAACCAAGTGCACAGGGACACCCGATGAAGCCCACCTCATTGTAAAGACCTGGGCGACCTGAAACCTGTGTTTAAATGTAGGTAGAAGTGCATGTACACACTAAGGCCGGGACCAATGCGCGTGCAAACGAAGGAAAGGATGAGATGACCAGGCATGAAGACAGGAGGACATGAAAGAACAGAGGAAACAAAAGTGTGTGAAGGGGAAGGGATGAAAGGGAAACCAAACGGAGGGGACGGGAACCGATGAAACCAAACCTCATTAGAAGCGCCTAGGGACCTGCCTCGTTTGAATGTAAGCGCTGTGTGTGTGCACCTGAGAGTGGGACAGGTTCGTCACCTTGTGCCTTGCCAAAATGGCTGGCTGCTTTGACCGCTGCGGTCACGTAAAGGCATGAGCCACCTTGGAAATTCTAAAATGTGACAAACATACCAGTTCTTGTGGCATGAGCCAGCTACTGTCCGCTGCGGACATCTGCGTTCCCAGAGCCGGGGAACATGGACAAACCCCTGTTCGACGGGTCCACGGGAGGCCCTCTGCGGGCTCATCCCGGGTTGGCACGAGGCCAAACACACTTATGGATATGCGTACTGACTTGACAGCGGTGCCACACGCCGGCCTAGGTAAAACCACCTAAGGTTCCAGGTAGTGGGTTAGACGCCTCCAAACCTATGAACACGAAGGCGAGTGACGACGACAGGGTGACGACGAGTCGGGCAAGTCAGTGGAGCTCCAGAGGTCCAATCACTCAAGGAAAATCATCGCTGCATTAGCCCTTGACAGAAGGAAACAACGAAGTAGACAGCTTGAGCTCTACGTAGGTTTCTCATCCAGCAGGTACGTCAATCCGGCGTCCCCGATTGATTTCACAGACCAGTCCAAGCGTCTTTGTTAGTGCCAGACTTGCACGGTCCCTGGCACCCCCTGCTGAATAAAACAATTCAACAGAATCCTTGTGACTACAAGGGGCACACACACACACACCTCCTGGGTTGGTCGTCCCCCACCATGATGAATCTCAACCCGGTGCGACCAGGGACGGATCTGCGTTGCGCCAGGCGCAGAAGCCGGACGACGCTGAACTGGACGAGGAGGAGGTGCCTGAGGCCGATGTTGGGAGATTTCCGAGGTGGACGGGGCGGACGGTGGGAACGTGACCAAGGTACGGGATGTAAGGATTGTAAGGGGGGTTCCTTTTGGAAGGCTTTCAGGTGTGCACACTGTACACTGTGAGCGGTTGGAATTTCCGGATTTGCTGACCATGTCATGTAGAATTGGTCGGACTGACGGACTGAGGTGGAATTAGTGATTAGTGAGTCGTCCGGGACGAGCTGAAGGTTTCACCTCGAGTCGAAGAATGGGGTCCGATGTGTCTGGAGACGTACCAGAAGTCAATTGCCCAGATGCTCCGTTCACAGGTTCCCTCAAAGGTGGGGATTTTGAGACCCAGACCCCTCCATATCAGGCTCCAGGCTCGCGCCTGGGTGGTGAACTGTTCTTTGTTTGCCCTTCCACAACGACTCACACCAGCTCGGATGGGAAGCTTGGTTGTCAACTGATTCCCTGCATTTGACAGGCCCGAACCCAACAAATGATGACCGAATAAGCTTGCGTTGGGTGGAAACGACCCCAGCACCAAGAACAACAGATCCAATAAACCATATTTCCAGCAGTTGATTCATGCGCTATTGCGCAGTTCGTTGCCGAACCATTTGTGAGTCTAAAGTGTTGCTTATTGGTTCGTTCCATCCTCGCTTAGCGATGCTGGGCCTGTGGCCTCCCCCTTTGGGGATCCAACGGGGTGGGCGGGTTTTTCGGCTCCCCAATGGCTCTCCTCACTGCTCTCCTCGGCCGAAGTCCTTTTGGGGGGCAGCATCAGATCCTTGCTTTTCACAGGCATGTTCTGGTCAAAGGTGGAAGTCGATCAAGTCCACTTTCAACATCTTTCAACTTCTTTTCTAACACATGTCCTTTTCGTCCCCATTGATTTGTTGCGTCCATGTCATCGGAAACGTCCATGTCTTGGAGGATACATTTTTCGAGGTCGTGGGCCGAGAGCCACCGAGAGCTGCTCGGATCCCCTCTCAGCACTGTCCTCAGGACCTGGGCGACGATCCCAAATGGGCACCTCGGCAGCTTCAGCTCCGGCAGCTTCAAGCGGCGTGGGACGTCTAGGGACGTCTACGACGTGGTCGCGGGGGTAGGGGGGAAGACCAGGAACGTCTTCCACCCCCGCCGGCTTCTTGCTAGACTAGCAATGGCCTCCACCCTAGTAGCGATGGCCTCCAACCTAGTAGCATGATGTAGCGTGTGTGTTTGGTTGATTGATGTTCTGACCCAGGATACATCATGATACTGCATTCATGTTCAGTAATGATGTTCGGTGCCGTCTGCTTCGCGTTGCAAACCGGCAGGCCAGAGGGATGTTTCACCCGGTCCACCATTTAGGTCAGTCTCTCCAAACAACTGGGCTCTTGCTTGAAGTCATGAGTTGATTCAGTAACAACCACAGTACTGCTCGTGTGCGAAACTGGTCATCCTGAAAGAAATATACAATATGCTTCGATTCAGGTGTTGGAACTACAACGACACGCAGTCGTTGATGTTACGGATGTTACACCCATGGGCAATCATGTTGTTTCCTCTCCGTGTGCGGCGAGACAGAACAAACACCCCCAAGGTCTCGCCCCAGTCCGAAACCATCTTTCTTCCAGCACCTTCATGTCGGGGTCACCTGGCTAGAAGCCCCTACACTACCCAGGGATCTCCATTGGACACCCCTTTGAAGCTCCCGGTGAGTTTTCCTCACATGTCTTTGATCGTCCCACGTCCCCACGTCCCTCACATCTCGGCGCTTGGATCGAACGACACCCCAGGAACGCACACGCACCATGCCTGCATCCGTGACCTCGAAGGCGCGCCGTTCGTTTGCGCGCGGTTTTCTCGAAGCCAACACGCCACCGGGCCACCCAGGTTGAATGGAGCTGCAAGACTCCGGTTCTTTTGGTTTGGAGTTTTAGACAAAGGGTTTCCATGGACCGGTTTTAGGGCAGTTTGAAAGGACGAGTCTGGTTGGTATAGTTATTGTTCCGGACCTGGGCATGTTTTCTTCCAAACGATCTGGTCGTGAAAGCCTTTCGCTGGTCCATTACATGTCACAGGTTAGGCAGAAAAAACACGGGTGAGATATGGAGACAGGAGCTGGTTTGGTAGAGAAACAACGGCGTTGTTGATGACTAACCCCCCTCCCAGAAAGGTTGTACATCTCTTTTTGTTGGGATTTTATACATTCAAAACAAAGGGTGCCATTTGCTTCCAATAAATCTCTTTGTTTGTGTATTGTCCTATTGGGACTTTGCGTGAGGCCCTTGCCGCGAAGGCTGCAGGCGAGGAAGTTCTTCCAGCCCGTTCGGTGGTTTTGGACGCGCTCGGGAGACCTTTTCGGATCAGACCAACAGCAATTTCCAAAGATTGACCGATCCATCCCTTTACCAACTCTTTTGAGCATGTGTCGGCGACATTGTTGCAGTTCACCAGGAAAACATGTGGCCAACAAGGATTTCTCCAAGCCTTTGTGAACTTTCCTCTTGTTCAACAGTTCAACAGCAGCTCTCCTGGAAAAGCGATCCGGAAGTCAGCATTTTCACCAGCTGACCATGTCAGGGTATGATACAGTATCAGTATCAGTAAATACGTAAACCCTTTTTGAGACCTCTTGAGCAGTCTTAGACGTGTTCTTTACAGCGAGACCCCGGTCCAGACTGATTGGTCTGCGTCTTTCCGGGTCCGCGTTGCCATGCGTTGTTTCTTTGGGTCCAAAGCACTCGTCCCAAATCCTCACAGCCATCGTCCCAATCGTCAGCGGCGCGTCCATGTCAGTTCCCGGGTCCGAAGAAACCTCCAAAAAGAGATGGGGGGGGGTGTCAAAACCTGGAGTCCTAACACCCAGGGCCATTCTGTCAACCAGGGCCCACCAGGTGCCATGACCGCTTTGAGGCGACCGGTCCACGCCCTCAGTGGCCAGCACCACTGACTCGGATAAGACCGCTCCAGAGCGCATTCGCGAGGAGAAGGCGGTGGGTTCCAAGGCTTTTCAACTGGAAAGAGACAGACCAAGGGGAGTAAGAACATTATATTTTCTTGGTATGTGGATGCTGTGTATGTGGGGTTGGCATCAACCGGAACCTAGGAATACATTTGAGCAGATGTATTGCTGGTTTGGGGAGTGGGAGCAGGTCGTTTGTGGCCATACTATACTGTATCATCCCATGTCGAGCAAGTTTCTGTGATTTTTGCTGAATCACATCGCTTCGCTCACGTCACATGCTGCTAGGGCTGTGAAGAAGACGCTGCAGCAGAAGATCTCGGGCCAGATCCTACTTGGAACCGCGTGAATTCCACACCAGCAGGCATCTTCCGGGACCGGCACAGACGGACGCGGCACTCGTCACGGTGGTGGGGGGCGATGCGACGTCGTGACAGGCTCGGCGAACTACGTGGCACCTCAGCCGATGTGGAGATCTTAGACTTGGTGGAGGAGATTGAAGATGTGTCCTGCAGGTGTTGAGCAATGAACACATGCAGGTGATGTGTGTACTTTTCGTTGTTGAACTTCCAGGGCTGGGCCACGTTTTCGCTCAGTGGCCGAGGTTCCAAAAAGGCATCGGCCTGTCGGGTGCCGCCGACGACGCCGTCCGTGGCACCCAGCTTCGGCACAGGAACAGGAACGGTGAGAAGAAGGAGACAATGAAACATCTGGACGCACCAGGAATAAGAAAGATATCTTATGTAAGATGCATGATGAAACGGTTGAGTGATTGGTACAATGGCCTTGCACCCTTTTTCATTTTCCTTCGCACTCCTGACAAGTTAAAACGGGCGGGGGAACTGGTGGAGTTTGGATTTGCAAGGCTTGTCTCTGAGGTATCCACCATTCAGAAGGAGGGATGGACAGCACATAAGGATCTCACGCAAAGATGGTTTAGGCCATTCATAGCAAATGCTTGTGCACACTGGCTCGTAAGTTCAGTGCCAATTTAGGGATGCTAGATGAACAACACTGTACTTGTACTTAATAGGACATGGCTGCACTTTCCATCCATGCGTTGAGATTGACATTCATCTCCAGTATAGAAGTGGTTTTGGAGGGTTTCTTGCCAGTCCGTTATCAACGGGCATTTCTCGCAACACTCACTTGTTGGGCCCAGATGGATTTCAAGCTCGCAGGATCTTCCGAAGAGGTGTGCTTTTAGAGTGGTTCGAGTGGTTTTGCACCTGCCTGGCACCACACCAAGCAGTTTGGCCAATCGCGACCTGTATCGCCCAGTTTGGCCCCAACCGCCGATGCACCACCATGGAGCAGGCCAGTGATGAGCAAGAATCCCTCAGTTATCCAGTTATCCTTTCCCACCCCTCCGTTCACGACTTGCAAAGACTGTGTCAAGAGTTTTGCAAAGCTTATTTTTCTTACCAATTATATTATATATACAATTATACTGTGTCAAGACTTGCAAAGACTGTATACGGTACAACATTTTTCTTCTTACATTTGTCTACCAAATGCTAATGGAACGCACTTTCGGATGTTTGGACGACATTGGACAATAAGGAATCCTGTTGCTGCTCCTGAAACCCAAAGACGAAAAAGGTAGTTAATTTGATTTTCGCGGAATCAACAGGGAAATACGACAATGGCCGGATGAACACCATTTTGCTTTGCAGCAGACAACATGTACCGTTCCATGTGTATGATCGGGGACAGCTTGATGCGACACAAATCACCGGGTGGCCATTGCACGGCGTTCCGCTACGAAGGTCAGAGCCAGTTGGGCAAACCACCAACAACGGAAAGTAACTTAGACTCGTACCTGCAATCGCCAGTGTGAGGTAGGTCACATCAGGCAGGATCCCATCAGTCACTTGCTTTTTGGATTTAGAACTCCTCGTCAGCTGATTGGAAATAACCCGATCATTCAGTTTGGTCAGCTGTATTTCCGAAATGTCAACCCGTGGAGCTTTGCGTTGCCTCCTCAATGTTCTTCAGGTGCGTGGCCGGGCGATGGCTGCGAATATGCAGCAAGGCAGTCCCAGGGCCATCAACGGAACTCTCCAGAGAGCGGGGTCTGGTTGACCAGACTGCCTTTCTTCAGAGTGTCTATTCGATTTGCGTGTTCCGAATCTAAACCGTTCGGAATCTGTGAACTGGGTGCGTTCCTGTGCTTTTGGATGGCTTGGCCCTGCAGTTTCTGCTAGAAATGGTCCAGGTGTGGTGCCGGTGATGATGCTGGTGCCGCAGGGCATGATGGCTCCACAACAGGCCAGAACCATCGATTGGTCCATATGCTCTGACCATATCACTGGTTCAGACTAGACGCGGTCCTGCACAGACTTCCGAAGATTAATTCGCGAATCAAACAAGGCACCAAACAAACAATCATTGAAACATGGCTGAAGCTTCAAAGGAGACATCTTGACTCACGTGACTCATCTTGACTCTGCAGTGAAATGAGTGATGCTCATTTTGAAACGAGGGAGCGGCTGAGATTATTTTACCGCGATGTTCAAAGCATTGATGATGGCTTGCTCACTCCAAGCATTGTCACTGGTGAGAACACTCCCTCAACAAACAAGTTTGCTACTCTCTATTTAGCCAGAAACGACCTGTTTTGACTTTGACAGTTTTCAGTGGGAATTGGTCGCATCAAATGTGCCATCCAGAATCATCCACATGTTTCTGGGTGGAGGGGGCAACGAAACCGATACGGTGGTTTCCCAGTAGACTCAGTAGATGGCACAGCCCCCTAGTTTTTTTCTAAAGGTTGTTTTTGACCGCCCAGCTTAAGTGGGTCTTGTGCCATTGACTGAGCTCTGCAGAGCTCTGCAGAAGTGATGCTGAGACTCCACAGGTTTTTCTGAGTGCCATGAGACCATGAGAGGTGTACTTGTTTCTGCCTCCCAACCTGAGGAAACTCAAAAGATGAGGCCTTCTAGAGGTTTTTACCTCAACAACTTGTGAATACACATTTTGACATGTAGCATGGCCACTGTCGGAGATCGGATTTCGACTGGCCATTTGTTCTGAATTCATGATGATGTTCTTCTACTTTTGGTGAAGGCCCAGTTCGTAGCCAAGCTCCTCCCCACCCAGGATCCCTTGACTGGTGGAACCCCTGTCGCCAGATGTCTGCGGGGACGCCGTACTTGATGAGCCAGCAGTGCCAGCAGCCTGCTGTGATGCCAGGTGACGCTTGCAGGGATGACGTAGACACAGCCTTAAACCAATGTGCCAATGGATCTTCCAGGTTTGCTTGGAAGTGAAGAACTTCTAGTTATTGGCGAACAGTTTGGAACTATGGAGCCCTTTCTGAAGACTTTCAAGAACCGATTCCCATGCTGTTGGCAGTCGATGGAACCAGGTGTTGCAGAGAATTTGTGAATACTAGCAGCTAGAGCTTGGCTGCCACATGTTATGCCGGCTTGTCCATGTCAGGTAGCGTGGTACAACAACACCCTGTGGTCCAGCCAACCGGCAACGCGATGCATGGAAACGTGCAGCCTCAGCAGGAGCCTTTTTTTGTGGAGACGGAACTGGGCTGGGAGATGGCAATAACTTTGACAAAGTTCTTCAGTTGTTTCTGCATGTTTTCCCTTTAGCAACTGGTTTTCATGTTCTTTCCCTCCCTTTCTGCCTTTTTCCCCGACAGCGAAGCTTAGGGGTCTTCAGCCATAGTACAGACTTCGGAGCAGGTTCCGGAGCAGGTTCCCAGAGCAGGTTCCACAGCAGGTTCGGGAGGTTCCGACTTCCGGAACGAGCGAGCGCATGTCGTGGCATGCGGCGTATTGCTGACCGCCTGCTCGTGGCGTATTGCTGACACGTCAGCATGTTGCCTGGTTGTCGTGCGCACACATAGGCTACCATGCGAGGAACGGTGTGGGCTTTCATGTCGACAGTGGAACCTGTTGGCACTCTGTCAGGCTAGCTTGCAAGCATACTGTCATGCTGGTGTGCTATGTGTGATGACATGCTAACATGTTGTTGTGCTGAAGAGTAGGTTTCCTGGCTTTTGTTTGTTGTGGGATTGTCGTGCTTGCGCACATGCGGGCACATGTGCTATGCTGACATATTGCCGTCTTGTGATCGGGGCATGCTATTGAAAGGCACACATGTTTCAAAACAGCAATGCTTTGGAAGACACCACTTCTAGGTGAATCTGCGACGCCAATGCATACTTGGCGAATTCATGTCAAACTGGGATCTTTCTGGGGCTTATGGGAAGCGATGCGTTAATCTGTTGTTTCAACCTTAAAAACTCTGAAGGGTGAAATTATGACTCACATCGGGTCGCTAGGATCACTTGGGTCGTGTTCCCCAATTCCGCTGAACCGAGCGCAAGACCATGACTTGGAGCAACTCCAAAACTGCTGGTGGTTCGCAGGGGAGAATGGAATGACATGGAATGACTATAGTTAGAAATCTCTGACAAGGATACCCGTTGAAACTCACCTGTCGCTAGTCAAATGGGTTTTGCCCGAGCATCTTCGTTTTCGCTCACTTCAGGCAATTTGTCACCCTTTCGATGGTCAGTTTCACTTTCAGACAAGTCTGCACAATTTGGAGCACAACTCCGTGTGATCATCAGATCAGTCTCGTCCCTGATCGTAATGTAGTGCAAAACCCCCCGTACCCCCTGGCGCATCCAACAAATCAATACAAATCAGCGGTAGGTATGGATGTTCACCTGTTGCCACCTGGAGCATGGGGTGGTTCCCAATGGATAGGCCAGAGATGGTGAGATACCACCCTGTACGGGATAGTGCCTGGTATACGTGGCTGTTGTGTCACGCCCAGACTCGCCATTCCGAGCTTCATCCATCGAAGCTCGAAAGGATCTCCGACAGATGCAGGCACAGGTCTTACAGGCGCGGCCGGTCTATTTTGCGTGGCGCAACGGGGGAATGAGGCGTTCGTTCATTTTGCATAGGAGTGGGAGAATCATTGAATTAACCATGCAGTTGATCCAGACTTGTTTGTTTTGTTAAGACGTGCTTCAATCAGACATCGTTGATGGTAGGGTGGCCCTGACAGCTCACCTGACAAGATATGGAAGAAATGTTCGGCGTCAGCATCATTATTCTTTGGTGATGTTTTGCCTTCGAAGGTCCTGCATCATGCCATCAGATCTTGGCAAAGAACTTGCTCACATCTCTCATTGCACGGGCTAGTCTCTGGCATGCAAAACCCCATCCAGTGGATTGCAGGTTGTGGACTCATAGAGTTGTTACACCCGGTAGGTCTACCGCAAATTGTTCATCCAAACCCACCTATGAGGCATTTGGGTCCAATGATTGAACCTCAATTAGACCGTGAAGCCTTGAAACTTCAAAAAACACCCTCATCCCTCTCCTTCTAGGGCCTACTGACAGTGGCCTACAGGTCTGACAGACCTCATTTCACGTCCAAAGCAAACGAGGTCAGACCGGACTCGATTGGTCCTTAGACACTCGCCGTGGATCGCTCCTTGAGTTCCCGCCGAGCCGAGCGAGGCCGCAATGCCGGAGATCTACGAAGACTGAGGAATTTCTCACGTGTATGGCCCCAAGGGCTCTCTGGGTTGATTTCAGGGCGCCAACACAAGTGGACATCACCTTGGGGCTTGCTGAGATCCATACTTTGGACGCCAGGTGAGGGCATCCTTTCCACTGATTTCGGTTGTTTGTGCTTTCGCGTTCTTGGGATTCGCTCCATGCCACCTTTGGCTTGCCATTCAGGAGCACTCGTTTTTCTTCAGCGCTTCTTCGAGAGGCGGACGTTGGACCGGGTTGTTGAAGTGGGACTGGGCTGTTGACCTCTCCAATTTTGAGAGACTTGGATGGGCACAGCTTCTCGAGGATCCGAAGAACCGTCTAAATGTAATGAAAGCATCTAGCTCATTATAGTCATGTTACTGTAACTGCTAGCTAGTCGGGATGTGCTGCATTCTTTTGGGGGACCACTGGTTTCTTAGCCCTTGGGCCCCGAGGCACGGATTAAGAGATTGCCTCGATGCAAGGCTTAGCCGCCACCAGCCGCCACCACTTGTGGCGTGAGTGAATCATTGGTTTTTGTCTCAGGGAACCCTCCAAACCAATGGCTCTCTGAGTCATGTTCTGTTGTAATCCCTTCCACCGACTTCGCCCAGCCCAGCTCCCCAACTCAAAGAAACAATGGGAACTTGGGCAGAGATTCAAAACCGAAAAGTTGCCTAGCGTTTTCGTTACCTATACTTTGTTGCTCGTATTCAAAGTTGAAAGAAAAGCTTCAAATCATTGAATTTTCCCTGTGCACAAACCGCACAAACCACGTGAAAATATTGACTCTTTGATATTCTTCGCTTAGCGTGCAAACTTTATAGCAGGCCAACAAACAAAAGATCCGAAAGGTGATGTCGCTGGCCACGCGGTTTGGCGAGGCCTTGTGCCTCTGTGGAGCAGGAAGCATGTGTGTGTATGCTATATATGTGACGCGTCGCTAGTGACCGGCATGGCTGGTGGTGATTCCAGTATAGGTATGTCTCAAGGAAATTAGTTTTCCACGATTGCCTCGGGGCGCTTGAGTCGGGAATCGAAAAGGATTTAGCCCCGAAGACACCTCAACTGCCCCAACATAGTGGTTCAAGTGTGGAAGAACATGTTGTAAAGGACGTGCTTTAAAGCGTTTGGTAGAAACGCAATGCATTGCGCAGATTCCGCCGCCATTTTGGTAGAGCTTTTTGCAATGATGTCGGTAAAAGACATCGGCTGAAATCAATTGAACTCATCTGAGTTCCAGATGAAACGATGTGAAATACATCTTGTAGACTTTTCACGCGCCAAAACTACAAAAAGACTATGCTCATTTTGTAGACAAGAGGCCTCATTTTGTAGACTTGGAAGATCACATCTACCACAAAAGCGAAGCCTTGATTGCTGAAGATTTATGGGAGGGCCTTCACTTTGTAGAGACTGAGTGTGCGGACGCTTTCTACCAAATAACCCCAGGCTCTTCATTTAGTGGGATTGTTGGTAATTTTTTCACATGCCATTTTGTAGATTTTATTGGAGGCATCATTTTGTAATACCAACAAATATCGTTTTTAAGTTACTACAAAATGACTGTCTCAACCATCCTTTATGTTAACGGGGATTGTGTTTATCCATACCTTTCTGTATCTCGTTTTTGTTTGTGGAACAATTTGGAACCTCGGCTCCCCGGCCCCCCGCGGTGGTGCTATCCACTTTCCCCGCCTAGCAGGCAAAATGTCTCATTTATACGTCTTCAGCTGACATGTGACCCGTTTTCGAGCGCGGAGATTCTTTAAAATCAATCAGCTGGGTCATCCGTTGCCATCGTGTCCAGGAACTGTTTATTCCTTTCAGCACTCAGAATATCAGTCCGATCGGGTGGTGGCGATGACCCTGCTCCTTGCTCCTCCCAATATTCGCAGTACTCTGTGCAGGTCTTTTGCAAGTTGTCGTGTGAGTTGTTTGGCATTTGGCCAAGCGAAGGAATCAGCGTCAGTTCGCTGGTGGACACGTGTAGGCATCAGACCAATGCAATTTGTAGGAATGCCTGAACAGTAACAGTAAAAACTGTCCAACACTGATGTGTGTGTTATTTTTTTACCTTCATATATGTTCAAAGTAATCATGTGTGGTGATTATTGGTATTGCCTTCCAGCACAGACCTTAGACAGGCCGCCTCTGAAAAACTTTTGACATACAGGTTGCTCTTGTGGTGTCCTGGTTGGAAATCCTATCTCCGCTGTTTCTTTCTCAACTTTCCCTTTCTTGACCGCTGACCTTGGCTGAGCCAGCTCGGAAACGTCCGAACCATGTAAAACGCACCCGCGATGCGGGAAAGGCCTAAGCCACATCGGACTAGACACCTCCGACGAGAAGAACCGGTGGACTTGTCTGGTCGACCAGTTCAGAGAGCCGTTCACCAGACCAGTGAGAGACGAAACGAGACGGAGCCAGTCTTGGTTTCAACGCCGGAGCCAGTCCGACTCAACCCCCCGTTGGTCTCTAGATTTGGTGTCACCACATCTCAAAGAGTCCAGATCTGAAGGATCTCGATCCATTTCGGGACCAGAAGCGACGTCGACGCGTTCAGGAATAGAAAGACTGACGTTTTCAGAAGGTTGGTTTGACCAGTATTTAGACCACTCCCCATCTCATGGTCCAAGTGCTGTCGGATTTGTCCATCGCTTCGGACTCATCGGACTCTTCGAGCCCACAGTGATTCGCTCTGTTGAAATCCGACTCCGAGAGCCACTGGCCCGGGAAGAGGCGATGAAAGGCCTTTTTTGGATGCTGAGCGATGAAAAAGGATCCAAAAGGCAGACGGCTTTGGCAGACGTGGTGCTTACGCTGTTGGAGTTGTCTTCGGATGCTGTTGAAAAGACTGCGTTAGTGAGGGTTTGCCGTAGATACTGTGACCGTGCCGTATGTGTGGACAGTTCCCTTTGATCAGTGGAAAGTGAAGCCTCAAACTACTATCAAGGAGTGAGGTACCCACGACATCAAGAAAACATCAAGAAAGCGTCTTTCATTTTTCCGCGTAAGCCAATCGCCTGTTTCAATTTGGGTTTGACATGACCTCAGCTTCGGTTTCAGAAATAGCCAGTGTTTGACTGGGCACCGGCCGGCAAAAGCCAACGTATGCAGAAGCCACCAGAGCCTGAGTTCTGCTCCACACAGGTGCGGACACAGATCTTCCGCAGCTGGCGTTTGGCGATGCACAACCCGAGGACCGGGGGCTGTGTGAGAACAGGAGCCGGGGAAAGTGGGTGCCTTGAAGAGCGATTAATATCACGGGTGCCTTGAGTGCACCAACTCGCTTGGGATCGTTTAAGACACCTTGGGACCCTACACCTGCTGGGCATGAAAAACTGGCCAAACCCCGACTTGACCTGAGACATTCCAGTAAATCAAACCAACAGCAGATCAGCTTCGTAGGGGGCTACAGACCAAGTGGGTTTGTGCATGCAGCATCCCTCTTGAGGGCTGTTGGACACCCTTTTCAAAGCAAGATGGACCGGACAACCTGGGTTGGACCGGGTTCCTTTTGTCCGAAAACGGCTCGGAGGCTGAAGCTCCATGGCTTCAGGCTGGGTGGACTGGATGTGCCTGGTTCGAGATGCCCTTCTCGGGGCCTCCAGGAGTACCATCCTGTTCGGTTTGGTTTCCACCAGAAAAGGCTTGGTGGCAAGGCAGATGATCCAGTGCAACGGTGGAGTCTGCTGGATTTCCTTATGCTGAGTCGGAAAGATTGATGACATGCGGTGGGATGAGCATTAGTTGAATGGTCTTGGGGCGGACAAGCCTTTCCAAAATGCGAACTCCTCGACCCTATCTCGAGGGCTGGCGTCGGAAAAGCCTCGAGACGGGGGCTGGAGATGACCGACAAAGCGTCCAGGATCACTCACCGACAACAGCTGAAACGGCGATTTTCTCAGACACCCTATAGGGCCCTAAGGATCGCTGGAATCATTTGGAAGACAAAAAGGAAACAACGCAAACTCCTGACGAAAGGAGCACGAGTGTGATCGAAAGGGGTACTGTATACCCTCAGCATGGCATCCCTCAGTCTTTTCCACATTCACGAACCAAGAAAAGAGATGGGATATGTACCCCTAAGAAGCGCTTACAGTATTTTTGGCAATGACGCACACCTGGCCATACAGTTTATACATGTTTATAGACCCTGGTGTCTTCGATGGTACCAAAACTGCACTGACCGTGAGGAGCTGCGCAAAGACCTGGAGAAGCAAATGAAGAGAGCAGAGGCATCTGACATGCTGGCTCTAGCCAGAGTGGTGTGGCGACTGTGATGGTTAATGGTTAGGGTCTCCAAATGAGAGGGATCATCATGTCCCCCTCGTTCAGTTGGGGAAATCGACGAACACTCTTGAGTTCCCCCCCTTGCAGTTTGAGACCCTGCATAAATTTGCCAAAGTAGAACCAGTGGTTGACTGTGTTCCACTGATGTGTTCATCCATGCTGATCATCCATGCGCGTTGGAGTCAAGATTCTGGACACGTACTGATGTAACTTACTGTAGTTGTAGAATTTCTTGTGGCTCCTACCTCCCCTCCTCCAAGACTCTTACCTGCTCTTGCAACAGTTGACGGTTGCTGGGTCTTTGGTCGAAGACCTAACCAGAGTAAATTGGCAGTTGGTTCCTTCCAGCACCACCAGAAGCACCAATGCTGCGCCAGGAACTAGGCTGTTCAATGATGTTCAATGAGCCAGTTCGTTGAGGAACCAGAAGTGGACCTCCACGTTCCTCCACGACAGAGCCCAATCCACGTGGTGGATGACGACCATGTTCGTCCCAGGCAGCCCGCCGCGCGGCGGAACGGTCAGCCTCCCAAGCTCAACAGGCGTTGAAGAGCGAAGTGAGACGAGTGAGACGAGTGAGACGCAGAGACTGGGATGGAGAGGCCACTAAGCCAGAGGAGTGAAGGTACAAGTGCGAGAACTCTGCAATTGAAAGCTGCTGCAAGCGCTGCAAGCAAGGGGGCAAACATGTAACAGCAAAATGTTAAAAAGTGGGAACAATAGCAAACCAATGGCAAATTAGAACGCTAAAAGATCTAACAGACAGCCAATACAAAAATCAGCAGGATAATGTCAAATCAGAATGCAAAGCCAAAAAGGAAAAACCATCAACTGGAGCTGACACAGTGTGATTGTTTTGGCAAATGACACCAACAAGGCTAGCGGCTAGCCGGTGATTCACGCCAATGATTCATTTTGAACACTCACATGTTTGCAATTTTGTATTAGAGGAAAAGAGCAGTTTGCATCTCTTTGAGACCTAATTCTGTTGTTTTCCTCTGCGTGGAGATTTTGGTGAACCCATCGACCCTTATGTAGTGGGGGTGCAACTTACCCGTCCAGCTCATCCAGGAGGTCTTGGCTAGGATCCTAGGTTCAGGCTGCTTGGACTCTGCATTGACTCGTCGGGATTTCACCACGAACGACACTCGCTTCTGCAACTGGCTGGCCATGAACATGAATGATGAGAAATAACGAGGTACAGGTCTACATAGAACATCTCCAAATCCGGTCCAGAACATCACCGGTCCAAGCCTCAAACGAAACCTGCAGGGTGGACGAGGGTGGAAGGGGTCCAAATCACTGCTGTCGTTCCGGTGCGCCAGCCTTGCCACGCCGAAATCCATCGTGTCTTGAAGTGTCTTTCTTTGGTTTTCCCATGATTTCGATGGGTTCCGGCTGTGCCCAACGGCAAGGCGCGCGTTGCGGCGTTGCGCGCTTGGACCGAAGTGCCCACGCCACCTTGACGGCGAGGAGCTCTCCCAGTTCCGGAGGGAGCATGGAAAGGCCATGAAGACGGCGGAGGCCGAACTCGCCGAAGCCCAGGCGCCGGGGAGCGAGGACCGGCTCGGAGCTGAAGCGCGTTCTTTCGAGCTGGGCGGAAGGAGAGGAGAGTGCAGAGGACGGGAGGGGGAGGCCAGTCTTGTTTCTTTTGAGGTGTTTGGGTCGTTGTGGTGGGGTGTTCGGAGGGGGGCATGAATGACATGCAAGGCATGTGCACAGATGTGCAAAGTAGACTGTATACGATCAGCAGCCAGAACGCTCCAAGAAGTTGTAGATCATACGACTTGTGGTCTTGAACACCTTGGATGACTGAACAACGTTTCTTTCATACGATGGAGGAACATGAACCTCGACAGACCGCTCAACCCGAACCATGGAACCCACTCGACCAGGCCCTTCAGCAGCGTGCCGCAGTGACGCAACGCTCTGCCAGTGGGGCTGGCTTGGGGCGGTTGGAGGTGCAGGGCGGTGGGTGACGCACTCCGCGAACGCTCCCCCCATCGACGTTGAAACTTCCGAGGTTTGTGTTTAGACAGAATGGAAGAGGAAGTGTATGAACCTGCAGAAGATGGCTCTAAGAGGTAGAGGTTACAGCGCTGGAAAGAATGCACTCTTCCTCCCCACGACTTGTGCACGTTGCGTCGTTGCTTCGGGGCGTCGTCGCTTCGGGGCGAGGCCACCCTGGTGCAACTCCACGAGGAGCTCAAGGAGCAGCACCACGAGGCGGCGGCGGGGCACTGTTGTAGCTCGGCAAGTAAAACGTCACATAGGACCTGCAGCTTTGAGATAGTCAGGAAATGCTTGAGATGGTCAGGTTTGAGATGGTTAGATATCGTTTTAAGTCTTTTGCGGTCCCTTTTTGAGACTCGTTTGAAAAAGAGATGTGCGATACAACCTGTCCTGCATCCAGCTGGGTGGTGAGGTTCTGCCTTAGACCGAAAAAGACCGGGGAACTCTCCCATGAGAAGTCTGGGATTTTCCAGATAGGTGTGACACAATGGGTATTTGGTGT